GGTAAATGAAGAGAGGGAGAGGGAGAGTGGGGATGTGAATGAGGGAGATGGAGAGGGAAATAAAAGGAAGTGAAATGCAGAGAAAGTGAGAGGAAGAGGAAGAGTAAAAGAGAGAGATAAATTAAACACATTTATACCTAGTCATTTTACCAAACGTATAATTGCACAGGTATATATTCTGTCTCGTACCCCAAAAATGTATAATGCATAATTTTTCATTTTAATCATCATCGTTGATATCGCGAATTAGGACGAATAGGAAAAAATAGGTCGGTCAATATTGTGTAAGTGGCAGCCGATGTCTGTTTGTTTTCCTCGGAACAAATTTGTCGTTAGCCCAAAATTTGCCCGTTAACTGCGTGGGCGTGTTTAATGGTCTGTCGTTTATTGCGTTTGTTGAGCAGGATGTTTGGATTTTATTTTTATTTTTTGTTTGTTTCATTTGTACATTTAGTTTATAATATCGTTTTTTGTATTTATATTTTTTTATTATTTAGTTTTTTCTTCATTGATAGCGAATATCTGTAGTGCATTGTTGCGCACACACACACACACACACGTATGAATTATATGTATTATATACACGTTTCGGGATTCTTCTTCTCTCATATCAGATTCAGATGTTATGATTTTCGGTCGGATGAGATCTAGCTCGTCTGTTGCGCTCCGTTGATGCAAATCTTGATAAATTGTGGAATTTGCGTAACCTACCACAAGGTACAGTATAACGGCGGGTACGGAGGAGGAGGAGGGGGGGCAGGCATGACGTGGATCAGAAAGTGGAGTCGTGAACACGTGTGTGTGTATAAGGGGAAGGGGAAGGAAGGGGAGAGGGAGTGAGGGAGTGAGAGAGTGCATTTGTGAAAGCGTGGGTGAGATAGAAAGAGAGAGAGAGAGAGAGAGTGAGTGTGAGTGGGTGCGTGCGTTCTTATTCTTGTTCTTGTAAACGTGCGTTGCTTTTCCGCCAATCTTGAGAGACTGTACATTCATTTCGATTCGGAAATCCTGCAATGCACGAAAATGCATCCAACGTGTGCAACGAACCTCAAGCGCCAATGATGATTATCGCGACACAACCGTCGCCCTTTTCAAAAATTCGGCGCCGTTGGTGTTGCGTCGTTATATGCCCGCGCGGAGCCGTTACGCACTTTTCAAATCCATCCCACGTGTCTATGCAAATCAGGTGAAAAACCCGCGCACGTGCTCGACACCGGTGCTATCGACCCACAGGTGTTCCCCGCGTGAGAAGCTCCCCCCCCCCCCTTCAGAGGCAGCGTTGAGCACGCCCGCCGTCCTGGAGGCGAGGGCGGCACAGAAAGCCACACCGGAACCGCAGAGATATCGGCGACGGAGTTTTATGGTTATCAGCTTCATTGTCAAAGGCCGTTCCCTTCAGGGCGACCCACTTCGCGGGGCGTGATTGATTGGTGCGGTTTGTCATATTCACACATTTGGCAGGCACCGAGGTCCTGCTTTCATGGGGTGCGTTAGATGGGGAATGGCTCTCCCCTTCATTCCCTTCTGTTTTCTCTTCAATTATTTTGTGTTTTTTTCGATCTTCTTTTCTCCTTTATTCTCGCTTGTCTTCTCACTTCTTTTCTTTCTTCTTTTCTCACTTCTATTCACTTCACTTCTCTTCTCTTTACTTTTCTCTTCTCTTCTCTTCTCTTCTCTTCTCTTCTCTTCTCTTCTCCTCTCTTCTTTCATCTTCTCTTCTCTTCTCCTCTCTTCTTTCATCTTCTCTTCTCTTCTCCTCTCTTCTCCCTTTATCTTTCTCATTCTCTTTCTCCTTCTCTCTTTTACTATCTCTTTTTTCGCTCCCTTCCCCCGCGCGCTCCGACCTGCTTCTCACGGATTTCAATAAGATGTGTGATTTCTTGCTCTGGTGACTGACCGCCTCCGGGATTCCTTCTGGTTGTGAATGGCAGGCGGAAGATATTCGTGAGGTCGTGTAGTTTCTTCTCACTGCTTATTTTGTTAGTGTGATTGCTCGCGATGTTGCAAAGGATGGGTTGCAATATTGAAGGGGCGAATGAATGGTGATAGTGATTGTGGTGGTAGATGCGATGGCGATGGTTGTAGCAGTTGTATAATGATGATAAGTAGTTATCATCATCATCATCATCACCATCATCGTCATTACCAATCAACATTGCTATTCCGACCAACACAGCGAAAAGCGTCCAAATTTACTCTCGAACGACCAAATCCAAATGCATTTCGAATAGCCTCTTTTAACATCCTCCTCCGTACTTGACAGGAAAACACATGTATCCCCTTTTTTCTCTTGGTCGAACGTCAAACAAATCCCGTGAAACTCCTTCTTGCATCCGGCCAAGGCGCGTCCGGTCGGTGAGCGTTCGGCCAGCACAACAGTCGTCATGAATCCGGAATCCGCGCATTTGGGTCAGACGAACGGGACTGGCGGGGGTCGATCTTCGTAACGACGCCATATTGCTTCAAGATATCTCGGATTTCTTTTTTGTTGGTGTCTTTTCTTTTAATATTATTCTTTTTATATTTTTTCAAGAGATATTTTGCGTGTTTTCTTTTTTTTCATTGATATGAAGGGAATTAGGTTGTTGTGAAGATTAATCTGAATCGTTATTTTGGTTCTCATCTCCGGTTAAAAAAAATACGTATGCATAAAACTTGTACCTTGTTACCTCTCGTACGCTTATGTAAAGAAAAAAATAATAACTTTTTTTTAGACGGCGAGAGAGTTAGATTCCATTGCGGTTTGATATAACCCGAACCAATCTTTGGGTTATTATAACAGTACATTGTTCGTCCGGGAAAAGTTTTTGTCCTTTGCCCTGACCTTCTCGCGTTGGGGGGGGGGGGGGTTCTGTCTTGAACCACGTCGATAGATGGAATCCTCGAGCTTCTAAGGAACTACGGGGGGGGGGTGGAAACGGGAGGTTATGTTTTCTCTGAATTTTTCGTTATTCTTGTTTTCCGTGTCTTTTTTTTCGTTTTTTCTTTTTTTTCATTTATTTATTTTTGTTTTCCCTCTGATCGACGTTTAGGAATGGGGTTGGAGGATTTTTTTCCTTCTAGTTCTTGTTCTATTTCTTGATCTTGTTCTTCACCATCATCTCCTCCTCCTCCTCCTCCTCCTTCTCCTCTTCTTCTTCCTCCTCTTTCTCATTCTGCTTCTCCCTTCTCTTCTTCTTCCGCTTCTTTTTCTTTTTCTCCTCCTCCTCCTCCTCCTCCTTCATCTGCTTCTTTTTCGGTTTCTGCTTTTTCTACTTTTTCTTCTTCGTCTTCTTCGTCTTCTTCGTCTTCTGTGACCAAAAGAGAATTCTGATTATGGTGAGTGTGGTAGTGTGGTAGGTGCACTTGTAATGATGGTAGATACGTTGGGTTGCTATTATTATTATTATTATTATTATTATTATTATTATTATTATTATTATTATTATTATTATTTTTTTTTTTTTTTTTTTTTTTTTTTTTTTTTTTTTTTTTTTTTTTTTTTTTTTTTTTTTTTGTCATGGGAATTCTATTTTGTGACAGCAGGCGGGGTAACGCTTTTGGAAAGAATGTAAAGTGTAGTCTTAGTAGTGATTTTAATGATGATAACGTTACGCGCACGGCAGTAACTCTGGCCATAATGATAGCATAGATATCAACGTAAGTACAAGCAGCTCCCTCCCTCCTCCCCCCACCCCCACCCCCACGCTACTTAGCTAGCTCACCGTCGCGTCCATTTTCTTTTCAATTTTTTTTCTTTGCTGAACATCTGTACCAATTTGTTCCCGTCAGTTTCGCGCTCAACGAACCCGAATCGAGTGGCAGATCGGGTAAGTTTTCTATGAGGCGTTCGGTGCCGCTGTCGGGAGTTCTACGGTGTTTGGTCTTCGTCTCCTATCGCTGTCTCTCTCGTCTTTGTTTCTCTCTCGTTTCTCGTCTTGTTTTTTTCCCCCGTTTCTCTCGTCCTTGTCTCCTCGTCGTTTCTGTTTCTCCCGTTTCTAGTCTTTCCTCTCTTTCGTTCTTTTGTCTCTTCTCTCCCATCTCTTTCAATTTCTTCGCTCACCCTCCCACTCTCTCTCTCTCTCTCTCTCTCTCTCTCTCTCTCTCTCTCTCTCTCTCTCTCTCTCTCTCTCTCTCTCTCTCACACACACACACACACACACACACACGTCACACTTCATCTCCCTGGATTATGGCATCCCATGCATATCAAGTTTCCCGGCCACGTTCTTGCAGTAAAATTGGGGCGCCAGAGGATGCAGTATCGTTGTTGTTGTTGGCAGTTGTTATTGTTGTTCTTCTTCGTCTTCTTTTATTGTATTGTTTGTGTCTGAGTTTCGTTATCAGTTTACTCCATTTATTTTCATGTCTAATTTTGTCTTATTCCACCATGGATTTCATGCTTGTGCGTTTTAAGTATATGCCTTAAGAAAAAAAAAACTATATATTTTAGGATGATTTGAGATTTCTCAGGCGTGTCACTTGTCACAGTAATTTAAATGAGAACTAGAATTACACGCATGTATTTTTCTCTCTTTTACTCTTTTTCTCTGTCTTGCTTTCCCTGCAATTTTCTCTTTTTTCGTTGCATAGTAGCTTATTTGGATGAATTATATCTCAATTATCTTTCTTGCGCCGTTTATTCTTTATTAAATCTCTTTGCGCATAATTTTCGAATCTGTTATTTCCGCTCCGTTACGTAGAGCTCTTTATCGGTTGTTATTGAGGTTTAATGCCGTTTTAGTTGCAATGTTTTCTTCTTCTTCTTCTTTTTTCCTTTTTTTGGGTTGATTTTTTTTTTTTTTTTTTTTTTTTGCGTTGGACTCTTCGTTTGTGAAAATGGCGGTTGCGCGCTCCGAATGTAAAATAACTTGTTGATATTAATTTGTATTTGAAATATGATGTTATAAAGGTGGAGTTTCCGTGCGTTTGGCTTTAGTATACATTTTACTTTTTGACAATGTAAAAGATATAAGAAGTTTAAAAGATTGATTTTTAATGTGATTTATTTTCTTTTTTTCCAGTGTGATGTAAAGATGGAGAAAGGGCTGCTGTCGCTTCTCTTAGTGGGCGTGGTGCTGAGGCTCACCCACGCCCACGTCGCCCTCACCTTCCCGCCCGCCCGCAAGTACGACCTGGATTTCCTCGACTCCGCCAGGACCCCCGGCCCCTGCGGAATGCCCAAAGGTAAGAATGCCTCTTCAGGGTTTAGGGAAGGTTGGTCACCTGGATTTTGTGTTATTTTATATATCTTTTTTTTAATTAATTTAATTTTATTATTATTATAATTATTTTATTTTATTTGTTTATTTATTTATTTATTTATTTATTTTTTACGTGAGAGGTAATATTATTGGCATTTGGTGTTCGAGTTTGTTTGGTTGTTTGCCTCTTCCGGAGGTTTGGGAGCAGGTCCAGTTTGGTTGTTGTGGAAAGCAGGGCGGTGATCGGGTCCGTGATCATGAGGGAAGAAAGGTCGGGAAGAGCTGGATCACACGGGTCTTTGGTCGAGGACGGCGAAGGACGGCCTGAGACAAGGCCAGGTGCGCAAGATGCACAACCGTATCAATATTATTTATATTATCATCGTTTCCAAAGCATAGATTATATTGATTTGATAGATCCACCCCACCAAAACAAACGCACGCACGCACACACACACACACACACACACACACACACACACACACACACACACACACACACACACACACACACACACACACACACACACACACACGCATATGTATATATATAGATATATAGATAGATAGATAGATAGATAGATAGATAGATATACTGTGGACTACCTCTAGGCCTATATCATGAGCGTCACCGATTCTTAAATTATTCAAGCGCCTACCAAGCCCAGAGTCGCGTTGGTGAGTCACACCCGACCAGCACGACCAGGGCGAGGCGGCTCGAGTTGGCTTCACCCCTGCGAGAGTGGAGACGCCCTCGCACGCCCATATGATACGAGGCCGCCCATCAGTTCCCCGGCGCATTCTTCGGAAACTGTATGTGCGCGCTTGTTTTGGGTTATATTTTTGGACGGTCTTTGGTCTTTGGGGGTCGTTGTTGAAAGGGCTAAAAGGGGGGTGGGGGGAGATGAGGCACTGAGGAGAACTAGGGGCTTGGGAGAGAATCCAATGCTGTCTGTCTGTCTGAGAGAATAATGGGGAGAATGAGAATGAAAAAAATGATGAATAAGAACGTTCTCGACGTAGGAAAAGGGAGGGCGCTGACCCCTCTTTCCGGCGAAGGGCGAGTGCCTCCCGTGACCCCTCCCCCCCTGAGAGTTAATTCTGATGCCATTGCACATCCGCTCGTCCCACGTTTCGGCGTCTTTGCAGGATATATTAAGTCCGCGAGAAGGAGTCCTTGGCAGTTATAGTGAGTGATTCTCTGTCTGTCCGTCTCTCTGCTCTCTGCTCTCTGCTCTTTGTTCTCTCTCTCTCTTTCTCTCTCTCTCTCTCTCTCTCTCTCTCTCTCTCTCTCTCTCTCTCTCTCTCTCCTCTCTGCTCTTTGCTCTTTGTTCTCTCTCTCTCTCTCTCTGCTCTTTGCTCTTTGCTCACTCTCACAGTCTCTCACTTTCTCTCTTTCTCTTTTTTCACATTTGATGGTAGAAAGTCAGCCAGGCAATAGAAACGGCAGGGAAAGGGGGGAGGAGGGTTGAGAGGTTGAATTATAATTAAGATAGATTGATCATCTCGCCGGGGCCAGGAACTTGAGTCTCGAGGAGGTAATACCCGATGAATTTCTTTTTTTCCCCCGGCGGGAGCGAGTTTTTTCCCGCGCCATCGTTACGGTGTGGGTTAGTATGCTAATTCGCCAAAGGTCATCTTTTTTTTTAATACTTGGAGTTATGAGCGCACGAGCAAATATATATATAGAGAGATTTCATGATTGATTTGTTCATCTTCCTGTTTGTTATGCAGTAGTTATGCAATGTGTTTAAGTTCTCTGCATAATGCAGCGTTCGCACTGCTGTTCGGTTCTGTCGCTCCCTCGGTCGTGACGGCATGACACGCTGAAACGCAGTGCTTTCGGAAGGAAACTCATGAGAGAAAACGCACTTTCGAGGGAAATTTTTACAAAAATTTTCACATGCGAATTCCAGATTGATCAGATATGGCGGCCGCCCGACTCTCTCCCGTTTCGGCGATGTCCGATTTCACTGATTTCTCGCAGCGTTTATGCCCTTGCTGTTGGGTGTTCATTGTTGTGTTGTAGATTTTCCTTGTTGCAGTGTTGCACCGTTGTTGTTGCATTGTTGTCAATGTTAGGCCTAAGTTTTCCAGCGTAACCTTTCACCGGTCACGCAGCGTTGCCAGATGCACAAGGTTTCCAGTCCTGTTTGGCCACACTGTAACTAGTGCATTGTTCTTAAAATCTAGATAGTTTGCATAACTGTCATACCTGTTGCCTCCACCGATACCCGCTCGAGCGTATCTGTCATGGGGTGGGAATGGGGGTAGGGGTTTGGGTGAGTGGGGGGGGGGGTGAGCGAAGAACAACTTCTTGTGCGAATCTTTGTCCCAGTAGAGGGCGACCCTAGGCGGGCTTTCTCCCCTCCTCCCTCCCTCCGCCTCCTCCCCCTTCTCTCTCTCTCTCTCTCTCTCTCTCTCTCTCTCTCTCTCTCTCTCTCTCTCTCTCTCTCTCTCTCTCTCTCTCTCTCTCTCTCTCTCATCCCTGTTTTTCGGGCACAGAGGTAACAGAACGTAGAGACCCTCTGAGGTTTAGCATTCTCTTGGTGACGCACGGAGGCTGGAAGGTTCAGAGCTGTTTTCACTTTTGCCGACGAGGTGCGACGGGCTAGTGGAGGAGGTGGAGGTGGAGGTGGGGTTGAAAGTGGAGGTGGAGGAGGTGGACGAGGAGGTAGAGGTGTTAGTAATGGGAGAAGGAGGAAGAGGAGGAGGAGGAGGAGGAAGAGTAATAATACTAATGGTAGTAGTAGTAGTAGTAGTACAAGGAAAGACAAAAAAAAAAAAGAAAGAAGTCAAAGAAAGTAAGCATAAAGATAAAGAAGGATTAGCCAGATCGAGGAGGAAGGAAAGAAGGTGATAAGAGGAAGAGCGGTGGCAGGAGGGGAAGAAGGCGTCTCCTTGCCTCGCACTTCTCGTTCCTGACGGACCTGTTCCCCACTTCGAATGCTGGCCAGAGGAGGGGGGCGGGGGGGGGGAGACGGAGAGGGCGAGGGGAAAAAAAGCGGAGGACGAGGAGCAGGAGGGAAAAGCGGAGAACGAGGGGAAAGCGGAGAACGAGGGGAAAGCGGAGGACGAGGAGGAGCAGAGGAGGGGGGTAGCGGAGTTCGAGGAACAGGGAGGGGGGGGAAGCGGTGGACGAGAGACGGGCGGGGGGGGGGGGGGGGCTGAGGTCGAGGGAAAAGCGGAGGACGAGGTGAGAAAAATGAACAAAAACGGAAAAGGGGAAAGCAGACGGTGAGGAGAAAAACAAAGAATAGGGAAGGGGAGAGTAAGAAGTATACGAGGAAGAAGAGAGAAGGTGAAGGAGGAGGAGGAGCAAAGAAAAAAAAAAAGAAGTGGGGACACAGGGAAGAGGAAGAGAGAGAGGAAAATAAGAGACAGCGAGAGCGGGGGCGACACAGGACACAACCTTGACGATCCTCCCAATATGAAAGCGCAGACTCGTTCAACGACAGAGAAATTTTTACCAGACTCTAAATCCTCTCTTTTTTGTCGTTTCCAGTTTACTCGTTTGTTGTCCGATTTCTTCCGCGCGTCAGGTTATCTAGGGCAGTTAGGTAGGCAGGCAGGAAGGACCCAGGAAGAGACACAGGAAGGGAAACAGGAGGAAGTCGAGGTGGTATAAATACTCGCTCCCCTCCCCTCCCCTCCCCCCTTTGGTCACATTCCCTCCATACCCCCTCCCTCCTTGCTTCTTCCTCCTTCCTTTCTCTATTACCTTCGTTCGTCCCTTCCTCCCTCTCTCTTTGATTTTCCTTCCTTCTCTCTTGACCTCTTCTTCCTTTCCTCTTTCCCCCTCCTCTCCTTCTTCCCTCGTCTCCCTCCCTCCTCCCTCCCTTCATCCCCTCTTCTCCCTCCCTCCTCCTTCCTCCTTCTTCCCCTTCTTCCCTTCGTCCCTCCCTGCCTTCCTGCCCTCTTTTCCCCCTCCCATCCTCAACTCCTGCACCCATTACCTTCTCTCCCCATTACCTCCCCTCCCCCCCACCCCCCACCCCACCCCACCCCACCCCACCCCACCCCACCCCACCCCACCCCACCCCACCCCACATCCACTACCAACCGCAGCCGCATAGAAAATGTATCGCTGACACCTTTCCATGCCATAGAACTCATCCATGACAGCCTGTCGAGGTACGGTCTCATGGCGGGCCGGAAGAAAGTACTTGTAGGTCGGAGGGAATGATTCAGGGTAACTTTTCTGAATTTTATTGATGTGTTTATCATTATAGTGTTATTATTATTATTATTATTATTATTATTATGTTGTTGTTGTTGTTGTTGTTGCTGTTGTTGTTGTTTTGTTGTTGTTGGTATTGTTTGATATTATTATTATTATTATTATGTTGTTGTTGTTGTTTTGTTGCTGTTATTATTATTTTGTTGTTTGTTATTGTTCTTCTTGTTGCTTTACTTTTTTCGCTTTCTGTGTTGTGACGATAAGAGAAATTTTACCCGAGATTTTTTTTTTTCTTTTCTTTTCTTTTTGCCTTTTTTTGTGTGTGTGTGGGGGGGGGTAGTTTCTCTTCTCACATGTGGTCTCGTGCATCTGTATCATCGGATGCTGTTGGCTCTTTCTCTTGTTTTCGAGATGGAGAGATGACTGTTGATAGATGGATTGATAGATAGGTGGATAGAGGTAGAGGTAAAAATATAGAGATAGGGATAAAGATGGATGTTGAAAGAGGGACAGACCGAGAGACATACATACAGACAGGCAGACAGAAAGGCAAGCACGCAGGCAAGCATAAAGACAGACAGACAGACAGACAGACATGGACATTACAATTGCGTGATGGTGGACGGACGAGGAGGAGACTGAATGGCTCTCCGGTCTCAAATCATACCGATGAAATTCCATCTAGCACATATGCCATACTATGATTACAATGTATAGACGCGCTTCCCTATTCGCCATGAGAGACTATCCATTACCGTAATTGTGTCGTGACTACGGTAAGTGCCGCCTCGATTAGGAAGTAA